ACACGCGCAGAGCTTCAGCGAGGTTGTCGCACGTGCAGAAAGTCTGAAGTTGCCTCGATGCATTGCGGCAGTGGTGGTGTAGTCAAATTGGCTGGTGAGGTCGGTCTATTGTTTGTATGGGCCTATTAGTGGCGAGATGTTTTGGTGGCGCCCTCCTACGGTTGCCCCTTGTGACGTCATTACCTTGCAAAGAACAAGTTCGATGGTGTTCGTAAATAGCACGGTGGAAGCTTGAAATCATTGCGCTCTCAAAGAAACACTGCCAACACCGCCAAAATTAAAGTTCTTTCATTCCTCTTATTTCCGTCGGTGATAAATCCCCTTTCCGACGTCATAGTCAGCGTTCGGCCAATCGCGGAAGGCCGACCACAGCGACGCTTTCGGTGGCGCACGTCGCCAATATGCAAGACTGAAACTCAGGAATATGCTTCCACAAAACAAGCGATACTGCAAGTAAGGCATGTTTCAAAACCAAGATTGCGATTCAGTGCAATGAATCCCTTATATCTTGAAAGTAAACATCTTCGACAGAAATCTGGCTGGTTTGGAGAACAATTAAAAAAAAAAAGAAAACTCAAACCGAAAGTTTGAGTTTTCTTTTGTGTTTTTTTTTTTTTTTTTTTAGTTTGAATCCCTTATATTTCTGTTGCTACATTTCTTTTGTGGGAGTGGTCTGTCAAGGCAGGCCGTATATTCCCAAAAGAAGCGACCGGGGACTGGCTCTCTCATCTCTACTCCGCCTTATGTACACTGTACAGTACTTATCCTACCGAGAACCGATTGCTCTTTGTGCGTGTGTTTTGTTGTGCCACGCCGAATGTATCTAAGAGAAACTTCCTGCGGTCTGGTTTGTTTACGTTAAGGCCGCCTTATGTGTGTCGACCACCAGAATCAAAGGTTTGTTTTTGTTTTTGTTTGACTTGTGTTCGGTTCAACCATGTGGGGAAGCCGAAGGAAAACGGTCGGGGCACAGCTCGTTAGCGGAAAGGCAACATTTGTACGCGCTGAACCGAGAATTTCGGCTGACTGCGTACCCCACCGCCCAGCGACACTGTTCCAGCTGGATGAAGTGTGAAAGTAGCGTTGCGTTTGTTGTTTTTCTAAAAACCACTAAATTGAGTTTTGATTGGAGCGAAGAAGCTTCTTCTGATTCGTCAAGCAATTGTCTCCAGAATGATCCTAGTTCTTGTATATAGAAGTGGACTGGCAGGAAAAAAGACCGGAACCCAGAGAGCAGTCGGGGACTCTGCTGTCCCGTCCTGCGGTTGTGAAGACGGCAATGAGTTAAGCCTGCCGTTGGAACGTCATTGTTCCCCATTGAGGTCTGTTGGTTCCTGTGTTGCGGTGTAGCTGGGTGAGGAAGTGCACCAGATGAAATCGTCTGACGGACTGGACCAAGACCACGGAAAAGGCATTCATGCGCCCTAGATCCGCGTCGACGGCAGATAAGACTCATTTTCACTTGTACTGGGCCCGTTCGCTTTGAGGCTGGGGCTATATATTGAGCTACTGTTGGGTTTTGTGTTTTTCTGCTCGCAGCCGTGTGCCGGGCGTCGCTTAGTTTTTTGACGTGAGCTGTTTTTGTCACCTTGTGAAGACAGTAAATATCTTTTAATTTTCACCTTCTACCCTGTCGTCGCTTTACTGCTCACGTATACACCGTTAGTGGCCCTATTTGCATGTCGTCCAGTTGAATTTTTTTTTTCTTTTCTTTCTATATAATCTTCGTACTTTGTCTTTTTCACATTATTTTTATTAATCGGCAAAGGGGCCCAGACATTGTGACAAGTTTGCACATGTATGGCTGTGCACGTCTGTTAAAATGCTTCTGTTCTTTCCCGATTCGAAATGGAGGTGTGTTAGACCAATAATTTTGATTGCAAGTACATTAAGTGTTAGATGCACAAATATATATACTGTAAACGACGGAAGTTTTGCGGGCTCAAATATTTGCGAATTGGGTCAAAGTTGAAAAATTAAAATTATTCGCGGGTTATAATTTTCGCGAATCCAGACTGACACCAGACCCCCCCCCCCCCCCCCCCCCCCTTTCCGGCCCGGTTGTCTTTTCATCCTTCTAGGATTTTGCGGCTTCAGTCAGTCAGTCAAAATCTAGGAAAGGGAAGACGGCGGTAGGTTGTGTGACTAGTGGTCCGGAAGTCACTGCCGTTACCCGCAACTTCAAGACGCCGACAAAGACTGGGTTAGTGTTCACATCGAATTTCTTCGATGTGAACCTTTCTCGAGTTCACTTTTCGAGGTCACACACTCTGCATGAAAGGACAACCGCCAAGGGCAATGGGGTCAAACCAGTGTGTAAATAAGTTAAGGGTCCAAACTAACTGGGTCACATACCCCTTAAACTTTCTTGGGTTCACTTTTCGAGGTCACACACACTGCATGCAAGGCAAGCGACAAAGGGCGATGGGGTCCAACGACTCAACAATAAACCGACTCAAAGTAGGTTTAGGGGCCAATTAAACTTGGCTGCGTACCGTGGTCGTCGACGCTAGCACGTTCTGTGTCAGTGCGATACGTTTTCTTGTGCCCGTCAATCTGCTGTCCCGCGATGTCCTTACTAGGTTACCTATGAGTTATGAAGCCCGTTCACGCAGCATGGCCGATTGAAGTGTATGCGGATCTCGAGAACCGCAGAGACACGATCCGAATCGGCTATACTCTGGCAGGAATTGTCTGAATGTACCAAATAAACGTTTTGAGGTGAGCTGCATTCCGACCTATGGCGTTATTTACTTTAGGATACTTTCCATATCATATTCACATATCGCGTATAATGATATCGTTATGCTTTTTGGACGCGTGTTTCCCCGGTGTCTCAATGCCGCTTTCAAGGTGATGAATTTTTTCCCGAATTGTTCGCGGGACTTCTTGTTCGCGAATCGGAGGCGGTTCGCGAAATTCACGAAAATTAGGTCCACGGGAAACTTCCGTTGTTTACAGTTTATATTTTAAACACTGTATGACCAATACATTAAAAAGCTATCTTGTAAGAAAAAAGTGCGGCTCTTAAACTTGTGCTTGTAGGCTTAAACTTCACCACGAAAGTGTTGGTGCACAATTGCTTGTCGCCGCGCAATCCCATCGTCTGCTTCAGGTGGCGACGGAGGCACCGGCACCTCTAGTGGAAGGACACAGTGAACTTCCCTGCATGTGTAGTGCTGTGCAATATTATGTATCACACAGCGGTGGTGCAGCAGCGCTCCGGCAACATCCTCAGCTCGGCATGCAGGCAGAGGAAGCGGCGCTTAAGCTGCCCGATCGTCCTGCGATTGAAAAGTTTCATTTGGCCCTTGGCACATTTTATACAATCTAAAGCAGGCTTAACTGCCACCTTTCCCTTGTACCCCAATGCATGGAAGACAGTTAAGTTATGCCACTCGTTCTCGTCAGAGAAGGGGGAGGCACGGAGAGATTGCGTTCGAAACTAGCCTTGAAAAAAACTCCATCCAAGAGGACTACAGTTAAATTGACAAATAGGGAGGAGAGACTCGTGTTCGCGAATGGTGCGGTGATGCCGCGAAGGTGAACAGACCTCACAAAAAATTCTTTATGCTTATTTAATGGAGAAGAAGCGGATAGATGGACCCTTTGATTAGGGCACCAGCTATCCGCATTGATAAAACTGCCAGGCACACCGAACATAAACTGGACACTCCATCTAATCAAGTTGCATCCCCTGAATGTGTTCGTAGCGTCATGTTTTACACGCAGACAGTGGAAAGAGGGTGCCATATAAATAAATAATCAGGTTAGGCTTGTAACATGTACAGCAGCTCACCTCTTCTAACAAGACGTGCATCTCTCGTGGCATCAAGCATGCATTACAGGCTGTGGGTACAAGAATGTTCTCCACAAACAAGCACTGAAGCTGAGCTGTCATCAGTGTTTGAATTAGGTGCCGCACTCATTTTGCTTCTCTTTATTGACAAGATTTCCTATCCTGGGGATACACTTTCTGTGCCATGAATAGAAATACAATGGGGTGGAGCTAACGGCTCTGTGTTATTACACCAAGCAGTTCTGTTAGATTTTGGATTAACAGCAATCCACTTGCTGCAGTTCACTCCTTCGCATGAGAATTGCGGTTGGGGGCACTTAACTGCAATAGCGGATCCTGTAGATATACCTGCATATATTTTCCTACATTTCACCCGTTTCTAAACACAAGCAAACGCTTTTGACTGAAAACCCGGACCGACTTGCAAGGGAAATTACACAGGTTTCAATCTCGTAGAACTATATCCGTCTTGCAACCGACATGAGCATGTTGCGTCAATTTAAGAAATGCCGTGAAGTTCAACCGTGCAGCAGTTTTGAGGTTATCGATGCGTTAACTCTTCTGGTGCTTAAAAAGTATAGCGCTTACGCAATATACCGAATTAGGAACACGCCCAAGCTAAGGCGCAAGTCAAATCCCATTTGGATTGCATTCAATTACTGCTGACCCTAGGGGGATTCGGTGTTGCACGACAGCTCGGACAACATATAGCGAAGGCGCATGCTGCAAAACCCAAAGACTCTGGGCTCAAAAGTCGTGGCTTCATCCCCACCCCTGCCCAACGCAGTGAGAAAGACGCCATGACAGTTCTGCAGGGAACTAGAAATCCTGCGGTAAATTTAAACCAAGAAACCTCGAAGGAGCTAAAAATAAATGCTGCAAGTCTGGCCCGCCCTGACAAATATTATAGTAACATTGTGGAAGGAAAGCTAAAAAGAAAAATTTTAACTCAGTAGTGAAAGCATACTCAGCCAATTATTTTAGGTGAACTATATTTAGCTCCGCAGTGAAACGGCGTGCATTGGCTCTGTAGCCCCTATATGCAATGCCACGATCGTGACTTTCAAAATCTCGTTGTGACAGTTGAGTTTTTATGCGAGAATCAAAACGTTTCACGTCGTTAGTTTACCCTTCTCTGGTCGAGCTTTACGACGTCGTGCGTATAGCCTTAGTCTTCTCTGAGAGCAGCTAGCTCTAAAGCCTACCTTTCGACCACGGACCGAGTCGTTGCGTGCGTCTGGTTGTACGCACACTCGGCCAGCGTGGTCGGCGATAGGAGAGGCGCCATCAACCAAGGCCTGCACGGGTAGCCGCTGTCGCCGAGGAGGAGGCCGCCGTATGCGCCCGTTGCGAAGTTCTCCCCGACACTGCTCTTCAACAGCACGTACGAGTCGTGGACGCTTCCGGGCCACTTGGCAACCACGCTGAGGATCCTTGGGCGCGCGCCAACCACCAGCTGCGCGTTGATGGAATAATAAAAGCGTCGGTTCACCAACACTTCCTCGTGCAGCGGTGGCCCTTGGATCCGAACGTGGGTGCCGTCGATGGCTCCTACGACGCCCGGAAAGCCGTCCACGCCGTAGAACTGCCGCTGCAGCTCGGGGACTTCCGCTGCTGTTGGCCACCTGAAGTAGAAAATGAGGTTTACACTGTCAGTTCAAACCAAATAAATTATAACGTTGGGTGAATCTAGTACATGTTCGATTATGGCGTAGTCGGACCGTTTGCGTATGAAGCTTGTCACGATTGAGTGTGAATCAGTACGTATTATTCGCTACTGTTTTGAAACGCTCCACACTTTCTGAAACGTTCGTCAGTATCCACCAAATACTTCCGCTAACATGTTGTGCAACACGTAGTTTTTTCGTAATGAGAAACACGCCACAATACAAAGTACCGCCGAGAACTGCGCCCACCACAAGAAACTTTAAGATTACGGAGAGTCGTAATAGCCAGACATCGCTTTGAGCATGTATATCGAGGGCGAAATAATGGCGCTGCATGTTGGTAAAAAAAGTTTTTTTTTTAACGAAATCAAGTTGAACAAGTCATTTCTCTCACGAAAAAAGTTGAATAAGTCTCTCTTCCCCAGAATTCGAAATCGTGTTGCAGCTGACTGGCCTACTGGCAAAAAGAAACTGTAGTGTTAGGACTTCTTTTTTTTTCTCACCGTATGAAGTCCTGTGCCTGCTTGGCGAGAGCCAGGGTCACTTGTCGCACGCACCGTGACGCTGTTGATTCGTGCAGATGCAAGACGTCCCCCGCCGTGATCAAGAAGGTGCCGGTAGCGAAGAATTTCAGCGCTAGGAGCACTTAAATCATGATGGGGGTTGCGTGGTTGCGTCTCGTTGGTCGCCTGAGGTCGCTCGCCAACACGTCGGCGATGTACATGATGCCATCGCGGCCAAATCGAAAACGACGTTGGAGGCCCCAAAGAGGGCCTCCAAGGTGAAAGCGGTCGCGGAATACGCGGTCCCGCGACAGCATCCACGCGGCAAAGATGGCTTGGACTCGACTTGTCGTAGCCACGTCCGACATTTTGTTTACTCTGACAACCCCAAGAATCCGGGACATGCCGCCGCTCGCAACTTACGCCATCTCTCGGCAGTCACGTCAGCGCCCCAGCGTAACTCAATGGGCAAAAAAGTTTTATTTTTGTAATTCAATTAAAACACCACAAAATTAATTGCACTCGGGGGGCCATAATATTGATCTAATAGCCCGCTTCTTTGAAGAATTTCAGTGCCTCAAGACCATTACATTTCCTTCCCGAATCAACAAACCGAATCCCATAGACTCCCATTGAAAACGAGGCCATGACATTCAGCTCCCAGGAAGAAAAGCTTGTCGCCACTGGAGCTTGAGGTCAAATGCGATCGCTTTATTAATCTTAGCTTTAATTGATTCCAGGAGAGCATTTTGAAATTCACGCTCAATTTTGAGTTATCTAGGTCTAAAGCTCTCTAATAACCGAGTGCTGGCAATAGCGTTAAAACATGGTTGGGATAGCAGAGATCTCACGCTCAAAATATTTCGCAAACCTTTACTATTTTAAAGAATGACATATATTTTTCTGATGATTGCACCATGGTAGCAAGATCCTTATTTTCGAAGGACAAATGAATTCATTTTAGCGCCATACATGTCGATAGCATTTATGGACCAATAAGAGATTTTGCGGTTCCTGTACCATGCCCGAATCCTAGTAAAGAAATGGACGACTTTACACAATTTCTGACCCACACACTTCTGGGAGCTCTAGGTGCTTCCTCTGTACTTTTCGGGTGGGGGGGGGGGGGGGGGTCCGTTGGCCGCGCACCAAGAAGAACCGCGCTGGCCCGTGATCGGCAAAAGGTTGGCTGTCATCTTGGACAATTGGACAACCTGTGAGGCTTAAATGCAATATCATTTCCCGCGTGGAGACCTGGCGGAGAGGAAACCCCCCCCCCCCCCCCCCGCCCCGCGCGTTATGTTCCCGTTACTCCACGGACCGTGTTCTCATGACCCCACGGATCATGGTCGCATGACCTTGTGGCTTCCGTTGGCCCACTCTTTCACTGTGGTTACGTGGTTATGTGGCGCAACGGACGATGGCCACGTGACCCCCGTAAATTATCGTCACGAGACCATGTCACCGACAATGATGCAATATTTCTCATACGGGCGCTGTGCTTTTTATTCTTTGGTAGGAGCGCGCTTTACTTGTGCTACGGCACCTTTTTAGAGCGCAGCTCTTAGGGGCCCGTTTCCGGCTTGAGCGGCGTCGCCGTCGGCGTAACCGCGCGGTGCATCATGGGAAATGTCCCATAATGCACCGCGCGAGCCCCCCACCAAGGTCACGTGACCTCGTGGGGGGTCACGTGACCCCCCGAAGTCACGTGACTCCCCTGAGGTCACGTGGCCCCCTCCTCGAGGTCACGTGACCCCCGCCGATGTCGCGTGACCCCCCGATGACGTCATCGTCACTGATGACGTCACCGGCATCCACATCGTCATCGTCACTGATGACGTCACCGGCATCCACATCGTCATCGTCATCATCACTGATGACGTCACCGGCATCCACATCGTCATCGTCATCAATGATGACGTCACCGGCATCCGCATCGTCATCGTCATCATCACTGATGATGTCACCGGCATCCACATCGTCATCGTCATCATCACTGATGACGTCACCGGCATCCACATCGTCATCGTCATCATCACTGATGACGTCACCGGCATCCGCATCGTCATCGTCATCATCACTGATGACGTCACCGGCATCCACATCGTCATCGTCATCATCACTGATGACGTCACCGGCATCCACATCGTCATCGTCATCATCACTGATGACGTCACCGGCATCCACATCGTCATCGTCATCATCACTGATGACGTCACCGACATCCACATTGTCATCGTCATCATCACTGATGACGTCACCGGCATCCACATCGTCATCGTCATCATCACTGATGACGTCACCGGCATCCACATCGTCATCGTCATCATCACTGATGACGTCACCGGCATCCGCATCGTCATCGTCATCATCACTGATGACGTCACCGGCATCCACATCGTCATCGTCATCATCACTGATGACACCGGCATCCACATCGTCATCGTCATCATCACTGATGACGTCACCGGCATCCACATCGTCATCGTCATCATCACTGATGACGTCACCGACATTCGCATCGTCATCGTCATCATCACTGGTAAAGTCACCAGTGACGTCACTAATGACGTCATCGGTACCCGCATCGTCATCGTCACTGATGACGTCATCAGTGACGTCAGTGATGACATCATCGGCATTGGGGGTCACGTGACCCTCAAGGTAACGTGACCCCCCCCTGGTTAGTTTAACCCCCCCCCCAGTGCCCTTCCCTCCTCCTCCTCAAGAGCTGCGCTCTAATTCGGCATTACAGGGAGTTGTAAGCGGCTTTCATTTTTTTTTTCAAGGTGTTTCTTTGTATTCTCGTTGTGAGCACGTGCTGTCGGCATCGGGTACTACAAAAGATGTCATCACCCCGATTAAAGCGGAGATGAAGGCACCCTAGTTCGCATTTATAATCTCAAGGAAGCTTCTGGAGTGTTAAAAGGCAAAGCAGTAGGCAAAAAGTGCGAGTTAGGCTACTTGTCGCCTTTTTGCCGACTAAATCATACAGTGCTTTTTTCATAAGGTCAAGAAATTAGAAGAAATCGCATGAGGAGGTAGAATTTCCACGTGGCATGTAGCTGGGCATGTCTACTATCATTCTCCGGCAAAAAAATTTTAATATTCATAAATATTATTTTCCTGCAATTTTGTTTATCTCGCCCCTCCCACAAAAAAATCGCATCTGTCGCTCTGGGAGCTATGCCAGATCATTTCTCCGCCCAGTTACCCCTGGCTGAGGAAGAAACAAAAATTGATAAGGAGATTCAATTTACATCTTTCACGTATCTCGGTATGTCTAGTATCATATTCCAGGAGGGTATTTCGATAATAGTAATAATTATTTTTTAGTTTTTTTTTTATCAGGAAGCCACAAACATCGCCTGAGAATATCGAATTTTTGTTTAGAATGTAGCTGGGAATGTCTTGTATCATATTCGAGGAGAGCATTTTGATATTTATACTAATTGTTTTTTCTGTATATTTCTAAATTCCTGTCCCTGGCACCGAAAACCGCGTCTCTTCGCTCTGGAGACTAAGGTCAACGTTTTTCTTGGCAGTTCCGCCCGGCTCAGGAAGCCACAAACATAGCCTGAGAATATCGAATTTTCGTCTAGAATGTAGCTGGGTATGTCTAGTATCATATTCGAGGAGAGCATTTTGATATTTATACTAGTTATTTTTCTGTATATTTCTAAATTACCGTCCCTGGCACCGAAAACCGCGTCTTTTCGCTCTGGAGACTAAGGTCAACGTTTTTCTTGGCAGTTCCGCCCGGCTCAGGAAGCCACAAACATAGCCTGAGAATATCAAATTTTCGTCTAGAATGTAGCTGGGTATGTCTAGTATCATATTCGAGGAGAGCATTTTGATATTTATACTAGTTATTTTTCTATATATTTCTAAATTACCGTCCCTGGCACCGAAAACCGCGTCTTTTCGCTCTGGAGACTAAGGTCAACGTTTTTCTTGGCAGTTCCGCCCAGCTCAGGAAGCCACAAACATAGCCTGAGAATATCGAATTTTCGTCTAGAATGTAGCTGGGTATGTCTAGTATCATATTCGAGGAGAGCATTTTGATATTTATACTAATTATTTTTCTGTATATTTCTAAATTACCATCCCTGGCACCGAAAACCGCGTCTTTTCGCTCTGGAGACTAAGGTCAACGTTTTTCTTGGCAGTTCCGCCCGGCTCAGGAAGCCACAAACATCGTCTGAGAATATCGAATTTTCGTTTAGAATGTAGCTGGGTATGTCTAGTATCATATTCGAGGAGAGCATTTTGATATTTATACTAGTTATTTTTTTGTATATTTCTAAATTACCGTCCCTGGCACCGAAAACCGCGTCTTTTCGCTCTGGAGACTAAGGTCAACGTTTTTCTTGGCAGTTCCGCCCGGCTCAGGAAGCCACAAACATCGTCTGAGAATATTGAATTTTCGTCTAGAATGTAGCTGGGTATGTCTAGTATCATATTCGAGGAGAGCATTTTGATATTTATACTAGTTTTTTTTTGTATATTTCTAAATTACCGTCCCTGGCACCGAAAACCGCGTCTTTTCGCTCTGGAGACTAAGGTCAACGTTTTTCTTGGCAGTTCCGCCCGGCTCAGGAAGCCACAAACATCGTCTGAGAATATCGAATTTTCGTCTGGAATGTAGCTGGGTATGTCTAGTATCATATTCGAGGAGAGCATTTTGATATATATACTAATTATTTTTCTGTATATTTCTAAATTACCGTCCCTGGCACCGAAAACCGCGTCTTTTCGCTCTGGAGACTAAGGTCAACGTTTTTCTTGGCAGTTCCGCCCGGCTCAGGAAGCCACAAACATCGTCTGAGAATATCAAATTTTCGTCTAGAATGTAGCTGGGTATGTCTAGTATCATATTCGAGGAGAGCATTTTGATATTTATACTAATTATTTTTCTGTATATTTCTAAATTACCGTCCCTGGCACCGAAAACCGCGTCTTTTCGCTCTGGAGACTAAGGTCAACGTTTTTCTTGGCAGTTCCGCCCGGCTCAGGAAGCCACAAACATCGTCTGAGAATATCGAATTTTCGTCTGGAATGTAGCTGGGTATGTCTAGTATCATATTCGAGGAGAGCATTTTGATATTTATACTAATTATTTTTCTGTATATTTCTAAATTACCGTCCCTGGCACCGAAAACCGCGTCTTTTCGCTCTGGAGACTAAGTCCCAACGTTTTTCTTGGCAGTTCCGCCTGGCTCAGGGAGCCACAGACATCGTCTGAGAATATCGAATTTTCGTCTGGAATGTAGCTGGGTATGTCTAGTATCATATTCGAGGAGAGCATTTTGATATTTATACTAATTATTTTTCTGTATATTTCTAAATTACCGTCCCTGGCACCGAAAACCGCGTCTTTTCGCTCTGGAGACCAAGTCCCAACGTTTTTCTTGGCAGTTCCGCCTGGCTCAGGAAGCCACAAACATCGTCTGAGAATATCAAATTTTCGTCTGGAATGTAGGTGGGTATGTCTAGTATAATATTCGAGTCCCAACGTTTTTCTTGGCAGTTCCGCCTGGCTCAGGAATCCACAAACATCGTCTGAGAATATGGAATTTTCATCTGGAATGTAGCTGGGTATGTCTAGTATCATATTCGAGGAGAGCATTTTGATATTTATACTAATTATTTTTCTGTATATTTCTAAAGTACCGTCCCTGGCACCGAAAACCGCGTCTTTTCGCTCTGGAGACTAAGGTCAACGTTTTTCTTGGCAGTTCCTCCCGGCTCAGGAAGCCACAAACATCGTCTGAGAATATCAAATTTTCATCTAGAATGTAGCTGGGTATGTCTAGTATCATATTCGAGGAGAGCATTTTGATATTTATACTAGTTATTTTTTTGTATATTTCTAAATTACCGTCCCTGGCACCGAAAACCGCGTCTTTTCGCTCTGGAGACTAAGGTCAACGTTTTTCTTGGCAGTTCCGCCCGGCTCAGGAAGCCACAAACATCGTCTGAGAATATCGAATTTTCGTCTGGAATGTAGCTGGGTATGTCTAGTATCATATTCGAGGAGAGCATTTTGATATTAATACTAATTATTTTTCTGTATATTTCTAAATTACCGTCCCTGGCACCGAAAACCGCGTCTTTTCGCTCTGGAGACTAAGGTCAACGTTTTTCTTGGCAGTTCCGCCCGGCTCAGGAAGCCACAAACATCGTCTGAGAATAT